CACGTGAAACCGATGTTTGGGTGAAAGCTATGAATGCCTTATTGGCCGACAATTTGTCACTTTTTGACGCTATTATTGTTGTATTGATTATACGCTATAACGCTGTATATGAAAAGGTGTCGATCGAGTCATGCATTTTATTAATTAGTTTTATTTTCTCTAGTTTTGTATTTAAAATATTTATTAATTATTCAATCTCTAGATCTTTATATTTAAAACTTAGTTATAATATAATTGATTTTATATTAAAATTAATTGTTATAACATTTTAATTAATATTTCCAACATTAAGACAACTAATGTTCACAAATAATGCACACAATATGTGAAACGCAAAGCATTCCCTTATTTATGGGTTCACAGCCTTTGAATTGGACTAAAAATTCATTATAAAACTCATATAAAGTGGACGTAATTTAGTGAACACTTTGTAAACCATATGTTATTACAAATTCTGTGGATCTGAAGGTATTTAAAGAATCGATAGGAATATTGAGACATTCCGAGTGGCGGAACCCATACAACCATTTCTATTAAATTATTCATTTATTTAAGTATTAATTTGTAATTATTAAACATGTTATAAAGCAATTAATTAATTACATGTTAAGTGATTGAAAATAATTAGTTTTGCTAATTATAGATACAGTGTATAAATGGTTCCGTCACTGGTATACAGGCTTTTGATTAAAAAGGAGATTGAAGTGAAGATTGTATTAAAGAATATTCTGTATTATATATAACACACACTATATGTGAGACTCAAAGACACAAAGCATTGCATATATTCTTTATATAGAGTGCTATTGATTACTATATATAACTCACAAAAAGTAAAGTATATTCTCTTTTCTTGTTTTAAATGATTAAAATCATTGAATTTCAGTCCTAAATGTTATTATACTATTGACTAAACAAATCGATTTTATTTATTTAGAGAGAGAGAGAGAGAGAGAGAGAGAGAGAGAGAGGGAGAGAGAGAGAGAGAGAGAGAGAGATTNAAATTAAGCAATAATAAAATTAATGATTATTTTATTAATAGATTCTTTAAAATTATTGATTTAAAACGAGAGAGAGAGAGAGAGAGAGAGAGATTCTTGACAAAGAGATACTGTATTCAAACATAATATTAGTGGTGAATTGCCTGTAATAGCCATCATTAAAAACGAAAGCAAACAATAAAATAGTAAATCAGATCTAAAAGCCATCGAAAAAGTGGATCACAAGGAAATCAGAGAAGAAAAAGACAGAAAATGCATTGAATGAATGCAAACCCAATGTCTTGATGTCTAACACTTTACCAAAATACTGATGGTTATTGTGTGTATGTATTGCACGACAACTATACTGTATATACATGTTATATAAGAGGAATTGCAAACATTCACAATAAGATCGCATTTAATTGAATAAAAATTATATCCGAAACGTCAGATCTGATAGATTATCGACTCCAGGGCTCAGACAGACAGACATACAGTACAGGCCATACAAACACATACACGTCGTCAGTCTTTTTACACATTCAGCACACATTTTATTGAAGAAATAACAAAAATTCCAATACTTTTATTGTAAAACATAAAATTTGAATAAATATTTTTATCAAAGAATTGTTACAAATAAGTTATTTTTGAAATAACGTATAAAACGAAATATAATTCTTGATATAAATCGTGGGTTTGTTTGGTGAATAGGGTGTCACACATGTACTGTAGTATTATTTTCTTATTAAATTAATAACCATGATCGATTTTATTATTAGACTATTTACGGTATTATATTTAATGTTTCTATTTTTAATTCACTTGATATTTGTATTGTATTTGTATTGAACTCTATTTTAAACTCATGTTTTCTTTGATTTATTTGCTTTGTTGTTTCGGATTGTATTTCTCTCTCTCTCTCTCTCTCTCTCTCTCGTTTTAAATCAATAATTTTAAAGAATCTATTAATAAAATAATCATTAATTTTATTATTGCTTAATTTTATATTCACTGTTAACGCACTTACAATATCACATTTAACTAGTTAATTATATAAAATATTATAGATAATACAATAATTATTATTAATAATTATTACAGAATAATACAATATAAAAATGTAATTCAAGTAATTTGCAAAAATCTTAAACCATATTGAATACCAGAATAAATAGATTAGAGCTTGATAAATATACTACAGTATTATTAATTATTATATTCTGTGTTATACTGTATACGAAGTCGGATTCAATTATGGTCTAAATCTATTTACATTGAGATATATTGAATAATATTAAGTAATTCTGTATGAATATAAAACACAGACATTCCGGGCTTTTATGAATTTCCTGCTCAGCACTCAATACAACGTTTACTGTATTATATCTTTTCTAATGATAACCATTTAAATAATTATACATAAAATTTACTTTTATATTGCAATCATTTATATAAATATTATATAATATTTGAATTTCCCATTAAATAGAGTATTAAATAACAAAAAAGGTATTAATCTTTGATTTATAAAAAAAAAGCAACTGAAAGGTCAGCTCTGGTAATCCCTAAGCGCTCGATATGTGTTGACAATAATTAGTTAATATTTTATACACTTTTTATACAGTATTATCAGTATTTTGGTTATTAAAATAAAGTATTAATTTAGAAAAAAATTGAATTTAAACGAAGTTTACTTAAACTTCATTGCAGTTAATATCACATATGCTATTGATATAACGGAACAAACAAAAATATTATTAAACTTATAATCAAAGCAAATGTATTGCTATATAAAAATATAATTTATTTGATATAGATTAACAAAAATTATTATTTAACTAATAATGAATTTTAATGAATTGAATGAACAGTTGTATTTAAAAATAGTTTTCTGTTTGAATCGGATATTAATAATGAAGCGACAAATGAAGAAAAGTGATTGCATTCACAATTTATGCTAATTTTATATTAAAAAGTTATTTTTTGTTATATAATTCAAAATTTGCATAATTAGTATTGCAATAAATACAGTAAAGAGGGATAGGGTACTCCCCATTTCCCAACATTATTTACGTACTAATGTCATAATTAAACGATGTGGGTTGAATGGATAATTTATATCAGCATCATTTAAGTCATAATACAATCTATCGATACATTAAATGAACAAATCGATGGTATGAACACTAGTGAGTCGGCTGTGAAATACACGTTAATATTTAATGCAATGATTGAAGTTATCAAATGAAGTCATTGGGAATTATTGTCGGATTAATTTGAGCCAAAGAAAAAATTGTGTCTATATTTGCCATTTAATGCCATTAAATCAATGCTCTGATGGCTTATAAGCCTTATATCATAAGTTATATTAAATCCAAGCAAAATTACATTTATCATTTTATATGTAATAATTATTATTAATTACACTTGGCAATTATTAATGAACTGCATTGAACGGTCACTTCCCATACAATAGCATATTTATTTTTAATTCATTTAATAACTGATAATTTTAATCCATAAGTTATAAAAATCTAATTAATGGCACATCTGGTAAATGCATTGCCATCTAATTCAACGAAGTTATAAATAATACAAATTGTAAAAACTTGTAAATCTTTTGGACAACAAAAACGCCAATACTTTTCTCGTCTTTAGAGTCGAAAATAATATGTAATTTGATTACAAAAATTGAAAATTCAAATGAGATTTTGTATTGTTTTTTTTATTGAATTAATTAATCCCTAACCTTAGAGTTAGAGCTTATTCTCTCACAGCATAACAATTGAGTGAAAATATATATAATTTATTTTCTCTTATCATTCACTGAACAAATGGTATACAAGTCTTATGGAAATTCAAACACGAATTCGTTTCAATCAGTACTAAATTTATTGTCTTTTTTATACTTATTATTGCATTATATTTGCTATAATTGTCTTAACATTGCGTTCACTTATGTATAAAACATAAGACAATTCATTAGAAATACCAGAAAATAGCGGTCATTACATAAAAGTGTCAAAACACCAGAATTAACAACTTTGTAATTCAAGTAAAAACTCTATTAACACTAGTATTTAATTAAATTAAATTAATATATTAAAACTGTGGCCCTCTTTGGTGACCCCTTTATTTTAGTTGTAATCACAAAAATGTATAAATAATTAAAACTAAAAAAGCACTTATAATGCATGCGTTAATACATTAACACTCATACAACATTTATTTATATACATCACTACTATTTGCTTATTATATAAATTATACACAGAATCGCAATGAAATCGTATGTCAATCAACATTGCATACAATATGTAATGAATTAAATGTTTTTGTTTTTTCTAAAATATATATTTATCTAAAAATTTGTAACAAATATTAAATATCAATAAAAATATTCGTCAAATGAATGGCACCATTTGCAACATGGTCAACTAAATTGCGCATAAAATCAATAGTGAATATGTGTACAGCATATGAGAGGATTTAATGGGGATTAATATCTGTGTTTTGAAATAACATCTCAATTATATAGTGATAAAGCATTACAAGTGATGCAAGTCTTAAGACTATAACCACCAGTCGTTCAATAGATAATATGAACCACTTTTTGCTCGTTTAATGCTATGAGAGGGCAATGAGAGGGCGAACGCATACACCCGGGAGTGCCTGTCATTCCTATCCATAGTGTTGTACACAAACACAAAGTTCACTAATAGACTGCCAGCTGATTGTCTGTACACTATACACACTATTAGCGTTGTAAGCGAGAGAGCGAGTGCGAGAGAGAGAGAGAGAGAGAGAGAGAGAGAGAGAGAGAGATCAGATTGAAGGGCATAATAAAAGGGAGAGAGACTGTGAGAGACAGAAAGAAAGAAAGATAGAAAGTATGCTTTAGTTGCGCTAATAAAACACAGGGGAGAGAGTGTTGTGGAGAGTGATGTGTTTGCATGAGAGAGGGAGTGAGAGGCGCGGGTAATGCGCGGACAGAGTGTATGTGTAGTTTGGAGTGAGAGTTGTGTCGAGCGTTAGGTTGTGTTGTTTGTGGCCTCAGTTTGTGTGTAGTGTTGGTTGAGTGCAGTCATGACTATTATAGTGTTTCTGATCGACACTTCGGGCTCAATGAACGCGAGGACACACTTCGGCGCCAGACCTTCGCTGCTCGATGTGGCCAAAGACGCCGTCGAAAAGTTTCTCAAAGTATAGCCCAAACCCCCGCCCGTCAACCCCTCCCCCACCCCTCCCCACACCTCAGCCATCATAACAATACCCATTGAGTCGCCATTTACGAGATGCCAAACGTTATGCCAAACCACTCGCAAACAACGTTACGCCCACAGCCTATGGGGGACACGCGTTAGCGCCTCTCAAGCCTATTGCTCGCTATGGGCTAACCCTCGCCAACGCTATCGTGTTTATAGCGTTTGGGGTTTCGCTGTGCGTAACGTTGTTTAGGTGTTTGGCATCGCTTTAATACCCCTCGGGTTAGGCCACTGACCGCCAGATGTCGGTCTCGTTTTGACATCAATTCAAACGTCAATTAATATTAATTTTTGGCGAAAAAAAGTTTTTCAAAACTATTTATCTTTTGTCCCAAAAGTCCTAAAAGTTTTTTCAATTGTTTTTATATTTTATTAATTGCTTTCTCTTTATTTTTGTCACCGAAACAGTTCCGGCAAAGAGATATTGCCAGCCGTGGCGACCGATACATGCTATTGACGTTTGAGGACTCGCCAAACAATGTCAAAGTAAGTGATAATATCTTCGGCGACCAATTGGGTGACCATTAAACTAACGACACGTGTATTTTGTACCCGAAGGCCGGCTGGAAGGAGAGTCACGTGGTGTTCATGAATGAGCTGAAGAACCTGACGGCCACCGGAATGACGACAATGGGTCCGGCGCTGAAGAACGCTTTCGATCTGTTGAACATTAACCGAATGCAGACCGGAATCGATACGTACGGTCAGGGGAGGTGTCCCTTCTTTCTGGAGCCCAGCGTTATTATAGTGATCACAGACGGCGGGCGTCTGACTAATGTGTCCGGCATTTGCGAGGAACTTAATTTGCCGATGCATTCGGCGGTTCCCGGCTCTGAGCTGACCAAAGAGCCCTTCCGATGGGATCAGCGCCTGTTCTCCATTGTCCTCCGACTCACGGGAACGTATAACTCGCCCAACGATAACATCAATTCGCTTAACAATAACTTCGCTGTGCCTTCGGATGAGTCGCCCATCGATGCCATGTGTGATGTGACGGGAGGTATGAATTACTCGACCCTTTTTGTGTCTAACCATCCCTTCCGATGGCCCCCAACACCCGAACCCCTATTGCTTTAACCAATGCTTGTTTTGTTGACACTTTAAAATGTATAATTTAATTATTATAATTGATTGCATATTTATAACTAACTGATTAATACATGTTTTGTGGCACCAGTTTTAATGCTGTTAAACCGCTCACTGACTCACATATAGGGGACGACCAGACCTGTCGGCAGCCCTATTGGCCGCTGTGTTGTTGATTGTCAGCGCACTGTCTGTGCTCTTGACGTACGTATTGGCAATAAAAACGGCCCAATAATAAGGCTTTCAGTCTGTGTCTCGTCTCTCACACTCTCGAGAGTGCTGTCCATCTCTTTGCAGATGACATTTGTGTTGACAATAATAATGGCCGCCAATAATAACCGAAAACTAATGTCTATTTCTTGTTGTTTTTAAAATGATTTAAATATTTGTGTCGATTGAAAGACTCAATCAATGAGTGATTTATCTGTATTTGTGGTTAATATATGTTTCCGTTTTTCTCTCATTATCACTGTTCAGGCCGTTCCTATTGTGTGACATCGCAGCGGACACTGATGGCCAGCATTGATCAATTGATTCAACGAATACACGGCGGTGTTGTCATAAACTTTGAAAAGGTTGGTCCCGACCCACCCGTCATTATACCCAATGATGAGGAGGTGGTGCTAATGACCAACACTTGTGATTCACTTAATGGACTCAATAATAATGTTAATAATAGTAATGTAAATAAGACTGCAATCAATTGTAATTTAAGTAACAATACAAACAATAACACCACAAATGAGATAAATGGCAAGTCGTGGCACTCGACCCGCAAATTGATTTACGTGCAACGTTCGGCCCAAAAGGGCTATTCTGTGGGCCACTGGCCGATACCCGAATCGTTTTGGCCCGATCTTAGTTGTCCGACATTACAGCCCCGAACCGCTCATCCATTAGTGAAGTTCACGTGCACTGACTCCGAGCCGGCGGTCATCGAGAACCTGCCCTTCGATAAGTACGAGTTAGAGCCGAGTCCGTTGACCGCATTCATACTGTCCCGCAAACAGCCGCACATCGCGTGGCAGGTGTTTGTGGCCAACAGTCATAAGAGCAGTGAACTCGGCCTACCGTTCGGCT